TTGAAGTGAGTCTTTCGGATATTGTGGACATTACTATTTTTCTATTATTTTTTTTACGTGTTTATCTAAAAAAAAAAAAAGTTGAATGAATTTCTATTACAGTACCGTGTAACAAATATTACAATCTGCTATAATAATATAATGGATTTAGCTAATTAAATCTCGGTATAACAGATTTTTGAAAAAATTTCCCGAATCGAGACTCATTCCTTATGTATTAGTATTAGTATTAGTATGTCTTTTATACTAACACGGAAAGTTTTTTAACATTCACCGAATGTTAATATTCGCGGTTCGATTATTTGAACCAACTGATCGTTGATAATTTCAATTAATCATTCATTGATTAAAATTCCAACAATCGATTAACCTGATAATCGATGAATATTCAGTGAATTTAGATACAAAAGAATTCGTGAATAAAAGGTTAGAAATTACGCAGCAAAGAGGAATTGGTGGCAGCTGTAACTCGACATTATGCAACAAACCGTTAAAGAGGTTGATATGATCGTGTCGTCATTTACGCTGTGCAAAATATATGCTTGATCTATGGTATTTTTTAGCTTGTTGTGATTTTTTATTATTAATTGTTATTATATTATTGTACATAGATATATAAATTAATAAACTAAATAAAGATTAATCATTTTAATTGACAATCCTTTATGAACGGCAGCAAAAATTCCAATCTGACGTACATGTTTTTTTTTGAGGCCTTTCCTTTTACTGAATTTAGCGTTCTGGAAATTGTATCATAATAGAACTGCGGATTTTCCCCTATAATATTTTACTGCCGTTCACAAAAGGAACAAAAAAATAACTAAAAATTATCTATTTTTTAAGATCTCTACATCTATCATTTCAGCAATTGCTAGAGATGAAGTCAACCCAGGACTTTCAATACCAACCAAATTTATAAATCCATTTAAACCATGCTCACTTTCTTCTTTAATTACAAAATCTCTAAATGGTTCATTTGGTCCTTGAAGTTTTGGCCTGCAATTAGAAAAAAAAGGGAAAAAATTAGGTTTGATTTTGATTTTCTTTTCCAAAGAAAAATTTCTGGTTACCTCATTCCTGCATAATCAGCAAACAAATTTCCCTTTTTAACATGAGGTAAATAAGCTTGAACAACTTTTAAAAAATTTTCTTTTCTTTCATCATCATCATCATCGATGCTATAATCCACTTCATCATCACCCACTTCTTTTTTCGGAATGTGCAAAAAATCAGGACCAAATTTTATTTTATTTGCCAAATCCAATGTTAAATGTATTCCAACAGATGACAAATTTTTTGGTGGAATAGGATAGATTAGATGGTTAACTTTTATATTGACAGTTGATACACTGCTATTATATCGATAAGCGTAATAATGACCTTTAGCATGATACAATTTATAATGATGTTCTTTTGGCATTAATAAATTTGCTATTTTATCTGAAAATAATCCAGCACTGTTTATTACTATTTTTGAGTGGACATAAGTTTTGTTACCGTCAGGATTTAATATTTCTACTATATATCCGTCACCATCATTAACTGCAGCAGTGATATTTACAACTTTAGATTTTTTGATTATATCGCAACTATTACTACTGTTATCATCATTTTGATAATTTTTTTCTAGAATTTTGCATTCCAACCATTCAATAAATTTATGTGAGTCAAATATACCAGTTGTGGGGGATACTAAAACTTCTTTGGCATTAACGAATGGTTCTTGAGATTGTATTTCTGATTGCGAGAGAAAATAAGTTGTTACACCCAAATCATCTGATTTTTTTTTCAGTTGATGTAAATAATTGATTTGCGAATCTTCATTCTGAGCAACTATCCATTTTCCTATTCTTTTATATGGTAATAAATAGGATGAGGATAATAATTCATAGAGTAGTTGTTTTCCTCGTATACATAGTTTTGTTTTTAGGCTATTATTTGGATAATATATCCCTGCGTGTATTACTTCACTATTTCTTGAACTTTTCAATCAAGTAAATTGAATTGAATTGAATTGATCAATCATTTTATAATATAAATTCAAAATAACAAGGTAAAAAGAAAAATAGTTGTACCTAGTTTCTTCACCTAATTTACTATTTTTCTCAACCAATAAAATCCTTTTGTTTTTACGAGTTGAAGACAAACGATTTGTTATAGCTAATCCAACAACCCCACCACCTATTATTAAATAATCCACAGAGAAATCTGGCTGTATGTATGGTTTATGTTTGCCATGTGCTTTTGAATTTGAGTTAATAGTTGCATTAATCGAATTGGTAATTTGAGATATCGTGGAAGTTGTAAAGGGTTTTATCAAATTCTTGTTATAATTACAATATAAATTAAAATTTATATAATTTTTTGAAAAATTAAAATTTTTATAAACAACATGGAATTTCTCGAGCATTTTTTTTTTTAAAAAAATATCAATTTAAAAACGAGGGGAATTTTCTAAAGATGTGACACGCGCATAATTTTTTTTCAAATCATCAAAATTTGGCCTCATTTTGTTAAATTAATAATTTCAGCTCCTATTTCATTAGCTTGCTTCTAAAAGGAATTGGCCCACCTTTTGTTTTACACATGATAAAAAGAGAAACAAATTGACACCGAATGTGTTCTAAATTGGTGTATATTTATTTTAGTTACAAATTAAAATGTCCAAAAAATACCAACAATGAATATGGATATTACAATTGATGGTAATAGAAATGTGGGAAACGAAAATGATAAAAGTGATGATGATGATGAAACAATTAGAAGGAGGGAGGGAGGCAATGGTAGTGATAATAATATGGGGTGATCTCTAGCAACACAAAATCCATTTTCAGCATGTATCCAATCATATAGTAATAAAAAAAATTTTATTGTTAGTATTAGAGGGTTAAAAACAAAAAATTTTCTATAATTTTATAACACAAATAATGTTAATAATAAATACATTATTAAATCTTGAAAAATTTTTTTTATATTGTTTTTAATTCTTTACCAATGAGTTCTCGAGAAAGGTGAGTGGTATAAGTGGTATTGAACTTATTCGTATGTAAATTTGGAAGCGTATGTCAATTTCCATATGCATATACAAATTCAAATGTTTTAGAGTGGGAAAATTGAACCATGGCAGGAAATGTATGTTGTACAAGAAGCAACTCAATGTGTTGCAAAAGAGGGAAATGTTGTCTGACAAGATACACACTTATCACATAGTTATGGAAATATCCCTATTTTATCACCAACAATCTTTCTTTGTCATACTAGAAATCCTGTAATTGATTCTCATTCCTGGTGTAAGTCAAGTTTTGAATATATTGCATTATTGAAGCAAACAAAACATTCCATGCCACAATCAAAGGGTAAAGTAATTGCATCAGAACTGATCCATTGGTATAATGATGCAATGAAAAAATTTTGTACAACAAAAATTTTCAAAGAAATAGGATTTATTGTTTTTACTAATTGTGATATAAATGAAGGGGACCATAAAAAAGCACTTTCTGAATGTCCCAACTTGATCATCATCTGTAAAGACAACCTTGAGAAGTATGTATCACATACTTTTTTATATAGGGGTTTGGTGAATGAAAAATATAGAAATGATGATAACAATATATAATGTGAACTCTGATAAAATTTTATTAAAGTTATTGTTTATTGTTAAATAGTTCAGACCAGGCGCGGCTAGAAGTAAAAGGAGGCAATCGGCGAGAAAACTGCACGGAAGTCGCACGACTTGCGAGTTTTGGAAGGAGATCATGACACGGCAAATGTTAAATCTTTTTTTTTGTTAAATAAATAAATAGAATTAATAAAAATAATAATAAAAATAAAAATAATGAAAATAAGGATAGATAATAATAAAAATAAAAATAAAAATAGAAATAAAATTTAATTTGACCCGAAATTAAAGGATTCGGCCAAATTATCTTCGTCATCGTCTAATTCTGGTAACACATAAGCCAAAATTAAAGCCCAAAAGTTGAAATATTTTAACTTGGGAGACCAAAAGTCAAATTAAAAAGTCAAAATGATCAAAAAATCAATCAAAAACTTTTAAATTACCATAAATTGGTCATTCAAATTCTCTTGATGAGATGTCTAGTCTAATTCATAAAATTCAGATCACTGATTAGTGAGATATTTTTATTATCTATGAATATTAAAATACCATTATTTGAATCAACCTTTATGAGACTATCCTAATAAGCCATGTTCATTAAAGTTGGATCACTGGTTCTCATGTGATATGACATAATTTCGATCATTTCAACTTCATGTATAGTATGAATGTGTAAAACAATTAATAATCAAACATAAGATTGTAGTCTTTGCCTCATATTTATCTGTCAACTCTTTAATCGAAGCTTAATGTTTGGATGTATTGGATTATCTAAAAATATAACACAATAGTATGTAATAAAGAAACAATAAAATATAATCTTGCTATAACTCCAAGTATCAATTTTTGACTAAATTAAATCATCTTAAGAATTTAAGAATAATAACAACAACAACAACAACATCAGTATGCAATTAACATCATGAAAAAATGATTTTAAATATAAAAAATATGAGCTTTGTCACATATTTATTTACCAACTCCAGTATTTTTATTTGATTTTTGTTCAAATTAAATCATCTAAAAATATAATAATAACAACAATATCAGTATGCAATAAGTAATGATATTGTGTAAAAATGATTTAATAAATGATTAAATATAAAATACAATCTCCACCACATATTTATTCACCAACTCCAAGTTATCATCCGATTATAGTAATAAAGAGTAAGATCAAAATATGAAAAATAATCTTAATACAGTGCATAATGTGATAAGCATTGAATCTATCTAACATACAGGTGGTTCTTTCAATTGAAGACAAATCTTTCTATTAGTAATATGTTGTATTATAATTACACCATTACCATGTATTTCTTTATCTATTTCGAGGAAAATTGAGAATAGTTGTTCTCCACTTTTACTGATCCCTAGAAAGCTCTCTATAGAATTATCTAACTGTATTACATATTAATATATATAAAAGAAAAAAATGTTATTAATATTTATATAATAATATTGATTTTTAAAAAAAAATTACAAGTAATCTGCCAATATTAATATTTATTAATGAATACCACATGCTTTATAATAATAATTCAGTATTTTACACTGTGAGATAGTAAATCTTGGACCTATCAATTACCCGGTTAATATCGACCAATTAGAACGAATTTACTACGGAGGTCATGTGATGCACTAAATGTTACAACCAACAACCATCTTTCTATATCATTGTAATGAATTATTCCTATTCCTATTTCTATATTTATATTTATTAACCTACTCATCTGATATAAATATTTATTTAGAATTAGTAATTAGTTGATAAGCA